AAAAAACTATTACTTTCCTTCTCACCTTGTTCTTACTAGATATGCCATGCCTAAATCATACTGAGAGGGTGGATCTTACCCCTCACCCATATGAAATTATTGGCCCATAACAGGTTTGCAGCAGTTAAACCCTGTAATATCACCAACCACCCTGACCATTTGAGACTGCCTTTGCAATCTATGTGGAACCAAAGCACAAAAGCCTCCCAAAACACTGCACAGTTGAGAAAGGACAACGCAGTATCTCCACTCCAGGTTTCTATAACATCTATGCAGAAATTCTCACAAAAATTAAACACTTACCTGTATTCTGATCCCACACACAAGCAGACATTTCTTTTGCCAACTCTCCTGATCCTTACTTTGCAGAATGCCTGTGCCCTGCAGGCAACCAGCTCCTGAAAGCTGCCTCTCACCTCTCCAATCTTTCCAGCCACCTGGAACACCTGCTTTCCCCAGCTTGTAAGACTTTTTCAGGTTACTGCCTCAACAAAGCCTCTATCATCCCTTGGTCATTTGAGGAAAATTTCTAAGAATTGTCCAATTCCTTTGCACAACGTACAGCTCTGGAGCTATGTTAGTCATCTCTATATCCATGAAATCTTCCATTATTTGTTCTCAGTTGCGCAGGCTGTTTCTGCTAAAAAAAGAGAAAATTACAATAAAGCTACACATTTATTTCAAGCACTTCCATTTGAAGCTTAGATACAGTAGCAACATCTTTGCTTATATCCCCCAAACTCTTTCCAGGGAGTAATCCATCAAAAATAAAATAAAATAAAATAATCCTTCTTTTGGCTTCTCTGAGAGCCACATCACCAGTTCTTGTTGCTATCTGTTCCTTTCTAATACCTCCACTTCTACCAAATAAAAACCATTCTCCGACAAAGCTCTATCCCATATCTCTCCAATTCTCTTCAGCTTCTCACAAGGGCAGCACTCTCACGATTAACTCCATTTGCTTTAAAAGGAACTGCTTTCTCTATTATTTTTGCTGAAAGGTATTCGTTTCATACACTTCCACAAAACTATTCCCCGCTTCTGTAAACTACTCCAAGTTCAGTGCTCAAGAAGAAACCAACAAAAATATTTTGCATTTTCTTTTTTCTAAGTGCATCCCAAGAACATCAAATGTACACAAATGATTTTAGCACCGTCTTAAAATCATGGCCTTGATTTAGCACTGCAGTGTTCCTTGTGAGTAGCAGGAGTGTCACCTGTACCAGGAGTGGCCTCACCCGGGCCTAGAGAGCATCCCACCTTCAGCCAGCAGCTATGCAGACCTACAGCAGTACAGGGAATCACCTGCTAAGGTCTGCTTAAGAAAACAGTGATCATTTCACTATAAATTGCTCATTTCTTATTCTCAGAAACATCAGAGTGGACAATAAGAAAACGTTGTTCTTATGCAGAAATCTTTTGTCTCGAGCTTAATCCTAAAATGGCTCTTCCCATCCAAGCTATTATATCATGGGAAATACTGATAAAATGTTTACCACAATTCCACAGTTAGCCATTTTCTAATAGAGGATACAAACCAATCACTTGCATTATGTTGTTTAAAGAATGCAAAGAAAATCAAAAGGGTAATGATTGCTACTTTAATAGAATAAAAATAAAGCATCTGAATTCCTAATCAACTGAATATATAAGGTATTCATTTTTAGAGTACAAAGAATTTCTTAAATGAATGTGAAAACGTCTCTTTTAGGCAATTTCTTCAGTCACACTGAAAAGTTATCTTTGCTTCAGGTTAGTATTATGGGGTTAGAAAACATGAACTAACATTGATGTAAAAGCGTATCTGTGACAATAGCTCAGAACACTAACTGCAAAATGCTATTAGTGTATTTACATTTCAAGCTCCATTTATGCTGATATTTAAGCACATAAACATTCACTATCTTATATAACAAAAAATAAAGTATACCTACAAAATACAAAAACCAGAACAGAGTGCAGCCAGCACTTCATGTGTTACGAACAAGAAACTAGGATAATAATGGTTAATAATATTGTGAGATATATGAAAGCTGATTCCTGCAACGGCACTATTTCATAATACAAGACATTTCCGTTTTAAACTCTGACAGAAATACACTATGTGCAACATATCATCATCTTACTTCAAATGAACTCTAACACCACTATGTTTCTATTTTCACAGATAAGCTGAACAAATCAAGGGACGCTGGGTTTTAAATCATCCATATATGTTTTTTATTAAACTGTTTCTAAAAGAAATCATGTAAACAAAACATTTTTCTACTATGACATGGTTTTGTTTGTTGTTTTGTTTTAATTTGGGGCTCATTACAGCTCTTTTGTGCATAATTCATTCTAATATTGTGTGTCATTCACACAGAAATAAGATACAGTCTTGTTATGGGAAAATGACATAAAACTATAGAAATACAAAAATTAGCTTATTCACAAAAACCCAAATCTACTTTCAATTAGTTTTTTAATCAATGATTTTCATCTTACAGCGTCTCGTCTCCCTTGGAATAACAAAACCAAATGGGGAGCAGGGAGGGAGGGAACTATAATCTTAAATGAGACTGAATAGGTGGAGAGGGGAAAAAGACTGACAAATTCCCACAAATCCCATGATGATACCCCTCAGGAAAAGTACTTCCCTCATCTGGAACTCTGCATTACTTCCACTGCCATGAAACTGTCCTGAATGGCTGGCTGCTCATACAGATTCCTTTTCAAGATCTACCAATTACAACCCTTAACTACAGTCCATATATACTACAAATAATGTTTTCAAAGATGATAAAGAAAGAAGGGAGTTTTATCCTGGCTCCTCCCTCTAAACATGCCTTATAGTAACAAAACTGCCTGAGACATCTAGATACAACTCTGGAAGTAACAGGCGCCCACCCAAGGCTGGAGGTAGCACATCCTTCTGTGGAGCAGAGCACATCTCATCAAGATTAGAACAGATGCTCTGGATGCAATGCACATGAATGAAATGTACCTTTCTTAATCCATCTTTTGTTTTCTTCACACTTAATGAAACAAGGGATTCATAGAGGCCAATTAAACCACAGTTTCATCCTAAAAAACTTGATTTATCAAGCCATCAGTCCTACTGCTACAGTTTTCATTACAGCCTGACTTCCACAGCAAGGTATGGTTACATGGCTGTGCTGCCCATAAGGAAGCATACATATTTTTACTGCACTTTTTCTTTACGTTTTAAATTCAACTTATTCCAAGTAAAGTGAGGTTAACAACTGAAGGAAGTTCTAACAGGTTTGATGAACACAGGTAGCAGACTGAGAACAAAAATATTACTGATCCTTTAATGATTTATGCAGATCGTAGCCAGTATCAGACACAGGGAAATCCCCTGAGAAAGCAGTCGTGAGTGCCTTGCCTACAGGAAAGGTTTCATGCGTACAATTTAGACACAAGCAAGTCCATAGGAAATAAGACTTTACTAAACAAGCTGTTCAAAGATTGTTTATATTGCAATATCCACAAGAATATATATGTTTTATTTGTTAAAACATTTTTCTTTGCAGTTTTCTT